TATGGAAGTGATAAATCTTTCCTAAAGGTTACTGGCAGTTTCCTCCTGATTTTCAAATCTAGAAAAATAGCAACTTGAACAAAGACTAAAAACATCTTGTAATTCTTAACAGTACTGTTTTTATTGAACCAGTTTATGCTTTTGTCTTCTAGTATTGCTTTTCCATCTTAATATATACTGTGACTGTAAGTATCTAATTATCGTTCCTTATACTTACTAACTTTTGCTTGTAGTTTCCTTCCTATTTAACTTCCATTCTTAACATGAAAAATATCCTCCGTAGGCATACCTCATTTGATTTCACTTTGCTGTATTGCACTTTGCAAATAATTGCAATTTTTATAAATTACTGATTTGCAGCAACCCTGCAGGAGAAGATCAGACATCTGCCCTCTTTGAGATTCTCGGTCTCTGATACGCTAAGAAGCAGTTCTGCTCTGAGTTGGAATTGACTCTACAGTGGGGTTTTGGATTTTGCCATTGAGAAAGTCTATTGGCACCATTTTCCCATTCAGTATGTGCTCACTTTGTGTCTCTGTATCATACTTTGGTAATTCCCACAATATTTCAAGATTTTATTTTTTTTTAACTTTTTATTGTGAGTTGAATGAAGGTTTACAGACAAGATCATCAGTTTTACATTCAACAAATCATACACTTTGTTTCATCTCAATGATTGCAGTCCCCTCCATTGCAACAATAGTTGTCCAGATTCCTCCATGTGGGTTCTATTTACATTTTACCCACCTTCTCATCCCTTTCCACTTTGTCCTTAGGTAAATGTTGCCCTTTAGATTTTGACTGATTAACTGTTTGATGGTGAGCAGGCCTTACTAGTTTTGTTGCCACCTATATACCTATCTCCTGCTTGACTGAATTGGCATACAAGGGTGAGTTCCTTTCCACACGTGAAAAGTGGTCGACAGCCATAGTATTTCAGTTTTTTATAATGGTATTGCATACTTCATAGATTGTGTTGTTGATTTTGACTCATAGTGACCTTGTGTAGGGTTTCCAAGGAACACCTGGTGGGTTTGTACCACCAACCTTGCAGTAACAGTCCAGTGCTTATCCTACATCTCCACACAGTACTCCTAATAGACTATGGTGTTGTTGAATGGCATTGAGTTGGTTCCAAATGACTGGTGGATTTGAACTGCCACCTTGCAGTTCAAATCAGTCTTGTAGTCCAGTGCTTATCGTACAGAACCACACCGGACTCCTAATAGACTGTGTTGTTGTTGAGTGCTTTCCAGTCAGTTCACATTCATAGCGACTCTGTATATGGTTTCCAAGCATCAGCTGATGAGTTTGAACTGCCGACCTAGCAGTTTAAACTGACCTTGCGGTTCAATACTTTATCCCACAGTACCACAATAGGGCTGTTGTTGTTAATTCCATTGAGTTGGTTCCAACTCATAGCAACCCGGTATACAGTTTCTGAGGAACAGTTAGTTGGTTTGAACTGCTGACAATGTGGTTCACAGTCCAATGCTGATCCTACGGCGCTACACACCAGGATTATGTTGTTGTTAAGTGCTTTCAAGTTGGTTCTGATTTATAGCGACCCCTGGTAGGGTTTCCGAGCTGCGACTGGTGAGTTTGAACCACTGACCTTGCGGTTCAAACTGACTTTGTGGTCTAGTGCTTATCCTACAGAGCCACAATAGAGTGTAAATTTATCTTTTATATGCACTAGGAAAGAAAACATTGTGTGACTTGGTTTATTGATGTATTTGCTTTATTGTGATGATCTGGAACTGAACCTGCAATATCTCTGATGTCTGCCTTGACTGTACGCAGATTGCCTGTAAGGGCCTAATGACTGCTCAGCTTCCTTCAGTTGGAATTACACACAAACAAAAAATACTGCTGTTATTGCACTAATTATATAAGTGATAGATTCTGAAATACTTGAGGATAGGTGTTTCTTTGTAAATACAGCAATTAACAATTAAGAGTATTATATAAACGTAATATTTTATTTAGATGAATCAATGAAGGGAAAGAGTTATCATTTACAATTTATAATTAAGGAAATAAATTTCAAATCCATGTATGATTTGTTTGTGTTTCTTCGCTATTCATATCACAACTATGTCCATCTGAAGAATAATTCAGTAAGTATTGTTCCCTCCACTCATCTGTCACTTTGATGTACTGTGGTGACTTGCATGTTGCTCTGGTGGTGGAAACGATGCCACTTGAATTTCCAGTGCCATGAGGGTCACCCATGGTGTACAGGTTTCAGTAGTATTTCCAGACTAAGAAAGAATAGGAGGAAGAACCTGGTGATCTACTTTTTTTTTTGATTAAAAGAAAATTTTTTATTGTGAATTGGGTGAAGGTTTACAGAGCAGCTCAGTTTTCCATTCAACAATTCAGACACATTTTATTTCATCTCATTTTGATCTACTTTTTAAGAAGAATTGGCTAGTGACAACTTCCTGCATACCAAAGGAACATTGTCTGATATAATGCCAGAAGATGAGCTCCTCAGATTAGAAGACTCAAAATATGATGAAGAAGTAGAGTTGACCTTACTAACATGGGTAAGGAGTGACACAACTCAAAATAAGAAGCAGCTGCAAACACCCATTAGTAATCCATACATGGAATGTACAAAGTATGAATCTAGGAAAGTTGGAAGTTGGTGAAAATGAAATGGAATGCATAAAGATTGATAGCCTAGGCATTAATGAGCTGAAATGGACTACTATTGACCATTTTGAATTGGAAAATTACGTGATATACTATTCTGGGATTCACAAATTGAAGAGGAATTGTGTCACATTTATTGTTAAAAGAATGTTTTAAGACCTATTCTGAAGTACAGTGATAGAATGATATTCATATGCCTGGAAGAAAGAATAATATGACTGTTATTGAAATATATGCACTGACCACTAATGCCTAAGATAAAATTTGAAGATTTTTACCAATTTTTGCAATGTTAAGTTGATCAAACATGCAAACAGTGTGCAATGATAATTACTGGTCATTGGAACATGAATGCTGTAAACAAAGAAAGATCAGTAGTTGGAAAGTATGTTTTTGGTGATTAGAAAAAATGCTGAAGGTCACATGATAGGATTTTGCAAGACCAACTTACTCAATACAAATATCTTTTTCCTTTTTTTAAAAAAAAACTTTATTGTGAATTTCATAAAGAGTTACAGAACAGATAACCAGTTTTGCATTCAATAATTCATACAGTTTGTTTCATCTCATTGATAGCAATCCTCTCAATGTAGCATCATTTATCCAACTTCCTCTCTGTATTTCCTGTTTCTATTCCTCCTTCTTTCCTAATCTATCTGAACCTTGTCCTTGGATAAATGCTGCCCTTTTGTTCTCAAATGGTTAATTCCTCTAAGGTGTGCATACCTCAGTAGTTAATGCTTTGCTGAAAATTAAGCTAGAGGGGTGACTTTAATCCCAAAACCTGAAGGTTGACTAAGGACCATAGTCTCGAGGTTCCACCAGTCTCTATCTGACCAGTAAGCCTGGTCTTTTTTTTGTGATTTTGAGTCCACATTTTTCTCCCACTCACTTTTCTCCCACCAGCATTTATAATGTGATCCTTTTTAGAGCAGTTGACAGTGATAACACCATCTAGTTCTTATGATCTCATAGTCATGGGGAGTGATATTCAAGTGGTCTGTTAGTTCATTGGGCTACTTCTTTCCATATGTCTTAGATTTTCATCACTCTTCTTTCTGACGGATAGGGAGAGACCAATAGTTGTACCTTAGATGGTTGCTCACAAGCTTAAAAGACTGTAGTCATTACTCACCAAAGTAATATGTAGATCGTTTTTTGTGTGAATTATTTTGTGACGGTTGACCTGATGTCCCCTGAGCCCAACTGAACCAAAAAACAACAGTATGATGAACAGAGATAATATTGAAGTGGTCAAGGATTTAATTTTACTCGAATCTATAATCAGCACTCATGGAAACAGCAGTCAGAAAATCAAATGAGTTACTGCGTTGGAGAACTCTGCTGCAGAAGACTTCTTTCAAATGTTAAAAAGCAAAGATGTCACTTTGAGACTAAGGTGAACCTGATTTAAGCCCTGATATTTTCTGTCGCCGTATCTGTTTTTGAAAACTGGACAGTGAATGAGGAAGACTGAAGAAGAATTAATGCATTTGATTTTTGGTGCTGATGAAGAATATTGAATGTCTTATAGATTGCCAGAATGAGCAAATCTTTTTTGGAAGAAAGCTCCTTGGAAGAGGATGGTGATACTTAGTCTCATGTACTCTGAGACATTATCAGAAGGAACTAGTCCCTGGAGAAGGACATCATGCTTGATAAAATAGAGGGTCAGCCATAAAGAGCAAGACCCTCTTCTAGATGGGTTGTCACAGTGGCTGCAATAACGAGCCCAAACATAGCAGTGGTTTTGAGGATGGCACAGGTCTGAGCAGTATTTCATTGCCCATAGGGTTGCTGAGAGCCAGATATGAGTGGATGGCACCTAAGACCAACAGTAACAAACATTGTTAAATAGTATGCAAAGGATTCTAGGGATAATCAAGATTAATCATCACCAACAATTCAGAAGACAGTGTGGAGTCCTTATTTGACTCACAAAATAGAGAGGATCTAAACATGCAAACATCCAAGAGAGACGATTGAGACCTTTTTATTAATTTTGTTTTATGATATAGATGTAAGGGTTATGAAAGCTTTCATTAGTTTTTTTTTCTTTCTTCAGACATAAACATGTTTTCCCCTCTGCCAGTTAATTTTGTTGATACCAGCTCAAGAAAGGAAGAATTTCTGATTTTAAACTACTGTTTTCACATGCTATTTGAGAATGCAAATTGTGAAAATTAGTTTTGTATGAGTACATATGTAGAACTAAAAAATACAAAATGAGTGTACTTAATAACTGTAAATTGCATCTATTTAATAAAACTTTTCCTAATTCTTGAATGGTGATTGATTGATATATTTCCTTTCTTGTTCTTTCTTGAAAATAAAATTAGGATGACCATGAAAGCTGTGGCTCCAATTCTACCAGCTGTAGTACTACTGAGACCACAAAGTCATCAGTGAGACCCCGAAGGACTCAGCAGACTGCCCCCATAGATCCCGATTTACCACCAGGTAACTTCTAATAGGATTGGTGAAACCTAAATGTCTGTTTTTTCTAGTTACTATTTTAATCCTTTGTAGAATGTACACTTGTGGTCTTTTTTAATCTCATAAAACTGAAGACTCCATGTGCATTTTGTTGTATGTGTTGAGAACAGAATAGGTTCCGTGCCCTGACTAAAACCTTCGTTCACATTTGATCTGCAGCTGGTTGTTTCACGAGTTTCTCTCTTGCAGCCTCTTCATGCAGAGATTGGTTTCTGATTTCCCACTGAGTCTCTTTGTGTTTTTTTAGTTTTTTTTAAAATTTAAGTGTTTATTTGTGTATTTCACTGTAGTGTTATAACAACAAAATGTCATCTGTGTCCCGGAGCATACATACATCAACAGTAAGATGTAAGTTTTCATTATACCACTGCTAAATATTTAGCTTTTTGCTAGAAGACATAAGCATGTAAGATGGACACACCAAATAACCACCGCCCCCTTAGATAATCTTAAATTTTTTTGTCAGTAATACTTTATCAACCTTACTGTTAATATGACTGTAAATTATCTGGGTAGTAGGGGTACATTTAACTGCATTATATTGCAATTGCTGCTAGAGTCATTTCGCACACATCAATAAGGAACTGTCACCATAATTCAGGGCTAGCTATTGTTGTTAGTTGCACAATGATAAAGTTCTTTTGAAAATATTTGTTAGCCCACTTATATGAGAAAAATCCCCTTTCCACTTATGCAGAAGAAAAAATCAGAAAGTTATTTTTGGACTTGTCAATTGTACAAAGAACTGCATATTAAACCTAGAATTATAATTTTAAAAGTTTATTAAGAACAAAAATGTCATGTAATTTTATTACCAGGTATGCAGAGGCTTTAAAACTGTTGCAAGACCATATAGTATATATTAGCATTTATACTGCTAATACACAACTAACAGCAAACTTGATTAGATTAACAGAAATGTCTTAATTACATTAGAGAGACAAATGCCACAAGATCTGTAGAAACGTTCAGTTCTCTACACTCCAAAGGGCAGAATAACTTTTTGTGTTGTAATTTTTCAAATATAGAACAACAAAGCATAAAAAAAATATCTGCAGTCCCACGTGACAAAAAAACCCATATTGCTATAAAATATTAAGAATGGGTAAAGGATATTGTCTGTAACACAACTGGTGACAAAAAGCAAATGAAACCTCTAAATAAAAGTATCAAAATACACATAGCAACTGAAGCACAGCATTAAACACAATAGAGATTTAATAAGACAACTTTCTTTGTTCTTTTTGCCTAGTTAATACAGAAAAGATTGGATTGTTGTGAGTTTATGGAAGCTATATATGATTCTGGAAGCTATAAATTCACTAATGGAATCATGGGTTTTTTGGGGTTTTTTTGATAGTAAGAAATGTTATACATCGTTTCATTTCTTGAAATTTTAATTTATCTGGTTATGTGCTGTGGAGTTGATTCCAACTCATAGCAACCCTGTATAGGGTTTCTGAGGCTGTAAGTAAATCTTTACAGGAGCAGAAAGCTTCATCTTTCTCCTGCAAACAGCTGGTAGTTTCGAAGTGCTGACCTTGCGGTTCGCAGCCTGATTCGTAAGCACAGTTATCAGGAATAGTGGCTTAAAAACAATAGTTCCTTGGTAAATATTTAATGAAGGAAAAAATTATTACTAAATCCAAACCAAACTAGTTGTCATTGAGTTGATTGTGTCTCTTGGTGAGTCTATGTGTGTCAGCATAGAACTCTACTTCATAGGGTTGCCAATGACTGATTTTTCAGAAGCAGGTCACCAGACCTCTCATTTGAGATAACTCTGGATGGACTTGAGCTTCTAACTTTTAGGCTAGCAGCTGAGTACATTGGCCACTTGCTTTACCCAGGTACTCTAGGGAAGACTCAGCCAGGCCTGATAACCTTATGCTGGAAGTGAATCATAGCCATTTTATGTAAATACAGTGAGGAAAGTTATTTGTTTAGATATAATCTTTTGCTGGGAAGTCTCATCTCCCTCACAGTTCCACATACTGGAAAGAGGAACATAAATTATTGATGGAGAGTCAGCCATCTCTGCCATATAATTACTTTTTCTCAATATTATATGAGGAACTTCAAAAAGTTTGTGAAAAAATTTCATTGCCTTTTAATTTCATTTTTTCAAGACCTTTATGAAGCCTTCTTGTATTGAACTAATTTTAAGTAGGTTGTACTTCAAACTATTATTTTGTGTATAACATTCAAAATTTCTGTTGTTTATATTTTTATGACTGAAAGAATTTTCATTTTGTTTTAGTTAGATTGACTTTTAAAATTTTGTGCTCAAGATAGACTGTTTATTTCTGTAACTCTTTATCACTGTGTAAATCAGAAAATTGAATAACTTAGGAACCACCAAAAATAGGTGGAAGGAATACTCAGTCATAATACCTAAAACAATTGGTCATCATTTAACCTTGTCAGGAGGTAGTATATGTGGTGTTGAAGGAAGAAATCCAAGCTGCACTAACGGCATTGGCAAGAAACAAGGCTTTAGGAATGGCCAGAGTACCAAGTGGAATGTTTCAGCAAACTCATGAAATGGGAGTGTTCACTTGTCTAGCTAAAAAATTCCTAGCCATATGAGTAAAAAAGTGATAGGTTAAACATAGAAAAAAATTCCCCATAAGTCTAATCTTTGAATATGAAAAATAACAAATTGTTTTAACAGACATAAGTAGACTTCTGCACCCAGCAGATGAGACAGTGTGCTGTCGATGCACACATTGAGAATTTTTAGAAACTTGTGGAGAATAGGTCAAAACATGGAGTCCGGTGTGGGTACTGTAGGATAAGCACTGAACCACAAAGTCGGCAGTTCAGACTCACCAGTTGTTCTTCGGAAACCCTACATAGGGATTATGTGTCAGAACCGACTGGCTGACACTTAGCAACAACAAGGTCAAGAAAGGCAGTCCTGGTGGCATAGTGGATTACCTGTTGGACTCTTAACCACTCACTGTGTTTGAATCTACCATCTGCTCTGTGGGATGACTCCAGGGCACACAATAACAACCAGGTAAAAAAGAAAGAGCCTTGGTGGCTCTGCAGGTATAATTTGGTCTGCTAACTGGAAGGCAGTTTAGATCCATTCACGTTCTGTGGCAGTTAAGATGAGACAGCCTACTCCCTTAACGATTTACAGTCTTGGAGACTTCAAGGAGTAGGTCTGCTCTCTTCTGCTGAGTAGCCACTAATCTTAATGGATTCAATGACAATGAGTTTGTTTGGGTTAAAAAAATCTTCACAAATTTTAAAGAATCATTATCATATAGACTGTCTTTTCTGACCACAACAAAATTAAATTAGTAATTCTTGTTACATTTTAACTTATGTCTACCGTTTTATGATTTGTTTTCTTATTATTAACCGTATCTTTCATTGCTCTGTTTGCTCTTTCATCTTTGTGTAAAGATAATTTTATATCCTTTCCAATATTTACACTTAATTCTCTTTTTCCCCTTATTTAATTATAAGGATATTTTGTGTTTTAAAAACACTTTTTAGTGTGAATTGAGTGAAGGTTTACAGAGTAGACCATCAGTTCTATATTAAACAAATCATATACTTTGCTTCATTACATGATTGCAAGCCCCTCATGTACCAACAGTTAACAGCGTTTACCTCTTTTCATTTTAACTACTGCATTCCTCCCTGTCTCCTGCTACCTTCATCTTACCTCTGCTAACCTCTTTCTTGTTGTATATTGCCTGCCCTGTTACCCATGTTAACATATATGGTGCTATGGGTTACTGTGCCAGACTGCAAAGCCATCTGAACTGCAAGGTCGACAGTTCAAGCTCACCAGCTGCTCCTCAGAAACCACTGACTTTGTGGTTCAAACCGACTTTGCAGTCCAGCGTATTATCCCACCGCACCATACCAAGGACTCCTTTTTATAGTTTGTTGTTGTTGTTAAGTACCGTGGAGTCAGTTCCGACTCATAGTGACCCTACATGTGATTAATTTTAGGACATATTCTGCACTGACAGTGTCCTTTTTCATAGCAAAGAAAACCCTATTTCTTATTACATCAACAGGTATAGTGGTTAGGATTCCAGAGTATATTTTGGTGGACATAATTTAATCCATAACAGTGAGTAAAGTCAGTGAAAAATTCATAGTGGTTTCATCTGGCCCTGTTGGGATGGATGTATGTGTTTAGAGGAATGGGTTTGTAGGGTAGGAGGGAGGTGACTAATGATACACATTTCTGGAAAAGTGGACAAGTCATAGGTTGTTTTAAAGCCATATAATCTGAAGTCTTGGTGTGGCACTGTAGGATAAGCACTGTAGGATAAGCTAAACGCATGGTCAGTGGTTCAAACCCACCAGCTCAGAAACCTGCTGTAGGGTCATAATGAATTGGCAATGACTCAAGGGTATTAACATCAACAACAATATGACATCTTGTCTGTGTTCTCATACTTAGAGTGACCTTGTATTTTCAGATGGTTTAGAGTAGATTTGGATTACTGTTAAACCATTTGAACAGGTACAGTCCTGGGGATTCTCTAAATAGGATGTGACTATTAGATTTATTGTTAGAGCTGTTGTTTGACACTATCTTGTAGTTTTCTTAGAACCAAATTGTTATGCAGGATCATAGAGATAGTGCACTGTTTTATTCTATTGTTAAAATTACCTGGTACTTACTTTGGCAATGTATTTTTAGTAAGGAAAAAGAGTCTTCTATAGAAGTAGTTCTTTTTAGATACTTGATATTTTGGTGAATTGGCTTACTTGTGTCATCTTGTATGTCAATTTTATGGTGAGAAACTAAGGGAAAATATTAAAGAATAGATGAAAAATCCATTGGTAGCATTCTCTCTTAAAATACATTTGTAGTATTATGTTTTTTTTTTTACTTTTCCATATGTATTTTTTCCAGTGGTATCCTAACGATTTTATTTTCTGTTTTGAAAATAATAAAACCTCATGAACTCTTAAGCCATGATTATTAATTCTCTATAGATGACATATTTTTCAGAAATAGGGAAACCGATATTTTTCAGTTTTTACATACAAAATGTTTACTCTGTGTTTATTCCCTGCAGTAGCATGGATGGATTAATGTGTGTTGTGAGATAGAAAAATTGGATTCTTAAAATTTCTGATCTCTTTTAGAAGACTTACAGAATTATTTTAGCATCTATTTTCAAAGCACATCTGTTACATTAATTTATTAATGCATTATTATTTTTACCATATGATAGTTGATGCTTTAAGAATTGCTTACAATAAACCTACTCCATATAAACCTACTCCTCTATTTCGTTATCCAACACTTTGCATTTACAATGATAAACAAATCGTCTATTTTGCATATTAATGATGTACATTTCATAGTAATGAATGTCTGTGTGTGAGGCAAGAGCAATGCTGGCTGTGATGAATGAGCAAGGTTGTGTCAGCTTGACTGACCCATGATTCTCAATGATTTGGCAGTGATGTGATGGTGTAATTTGACAATTATGTAATGATGTGATTATCCTCCATTTTTACATAATGCCAACTTTTGCATACTGAGTTGGTCTTTGGAACTTAATCCTTTTGATAAGTGAGGCTGAAGGTATATTAGAAAAACTTGAGCCTGTGTATTACATTTCTTTCATATTTTCATTCATTAGGAATGGGTAACAGTTGTATTTTCAAATCATATTAATATTCAAATAGGTTTAAGTAAGTGTTTTTTCTCTCAGCAGTCTTTACTTTAAACATTAACTGTGTCAGCTACAGAAGGGAGTTGATTCTGTTTTGTCTGGTACACTTCTGGCTAAAAGAATATAAGCATATAATTAGTTTAAAAATAGGTTTTAAATGGGAAAATGCATTTGAATAAAGTGAAAATTCTTGTTTTTTTTCATGTCTTTTATAATGCTGTTTATGTTTATTTTGCATTTTCATTTAAATTGTTCAGTGATGTATTTGATATACATGTTTATTATGTGAGAAACTAGAAGAATTGGAGGATTCCTGGTTACCATTATTGAACATTTTGATCTAGAAGATTCTAGAAGAACTCTGGTCAAAAGGAAAAATATACATAATTGAAAATTTGCCGAGAACCTGCCTCAACATAGGTGTTTGGTTCACAAGGTGGGGCTATCTGGCGTAGATAAAGATATAGAAAGACACACAGGGACACAAAGAGAGAGACAAAGAGACACCCCGAAACCAGAGTGGATGTGGGACTCGCATCAGGCAGATCCTGCATTGCAAACATCTCAGCCATGAAGGCCGTAATATCCTGCATAGTAAACATCTTGGCTAAACAGGCAGTATGGTTGCAATGCTGGACTGAGCCCCCTGCATGCTGTAACGCAAGCCTTGTCAGTCGTAATGCACCTGGATTCATTCTGTGCCTCCGTTTTATCTAGGGGAGGTACTTTACACAAAGCTGGGTGGGACTAAGACAAGGTACAGCTAACATACGTAATTTTCCAGACACTCAGGCTGCTTTACATCGTACTTCGCAGGTTCGAATCTCACGACCGCAACTTGGTTTCTCAAGCTTAATTAACATACCTTTTAGCACCTAGCCTCAAATGGGGGAAGGAAAAGGAGGATTGGGAGGATTCCTATTGTGTCGGCTGCCCAGCCCAGGTTCTCCAGGAAAAGAGATGCCTGGGTGAATAGGGCTGCACCTGATAACACTTTAGGGAGGGCAGTCCTATTGTCCTTAAAACAAAGACTTGGGAAGCCACCCAATTTACTTTGACTGAATTCTTTGAGGGAAGAACTTTGCCTTTTTGGAATTTTACAGTTTCGGCTTTTAGGAAAATATTACATTTATCTGTGGATATCAGGGTTTCATGTATGCAATTAATAATAAATCTAACTGAATACTAAGATGAAAAACAGTTTGCTATGTCTGCTAGGTGGCTAGAGTCTGTTCCTCAGAGCCTGCGGCCTGTACGGTCTACAACACTTGGGCCCACAGGGCTTCGAACTCCTGACCGGGTCTGGACGGTCTGCAACAAAAATTCTCATGAAGTCCTGGCTTTTTGGAGCCATAGAAGCTGATTGAACCTTTGAAACTATTGCCCTGAGATAATCATTAAACCTTAAACCAAAATATCCCCTGAAGTCTTCCTAAAACCAAACAGTATTTTAGCTTAATTAGTAGAAAGTGTCTGCCTTATGCTTTTTTAAGAACATCTATTTGTAATCAATTGAAACTAGCCACTGGAAACATTAGGTAAGAAACTTCAGGAACAGTGACTGAATGTTAATGGGGTTGGAATAACTTGGAAAAAGAATGGCTGCACAGCTTGAAGAATGTCATTGAATTGTACAAGTAGAAATTGTTGAATAGGGCTTGACAACAGCAGCTAAAATAATCAAAATTGCAAAGAAGGGTAACTGTATGGTTTCTCTTGGTGTATGAACACTTTAGTTAATAGAAATTCTTAGTAATTTTTTTTTCCCAAACTGCATTTGCTATTTATCATCTGTGTTACTTTGACAAGCCTTTTAACCTTAGTAATACTTACCTACCTTTCTTATACATTTAGGAGCCCTGATGGCTTTGTAGATTAGTTGTTAGGCTGTTAACCGCACAGTCAGCAGTTCAAACCTACCAGGTCCTTGGGAGAAAGAAGAGACTGTATGCTCCAATAAAGATTTACAGTCTTGAAAACTCTGTATCGGGTTGCTATGAGTTGGAATCGACTTGATGGCAGTGGGTTTGGTTTGGTTTATTTTTTCATATACTTTAAGTTAATAAAATTTTAAGAAATTTATTAATACACTTGTGGCTAATTAAATCCTTTCCCTTCTATTTTGTAGGTTATGTGCAGAGCCTGATTAGACGAGTTGTAAATAATGTAAACATTGTAATAAATAATCTCATACTAAAATATGTTGAAGATGATATTGTTCTATCAGTTAATATCACTTCTGCGGAATGCTATACAGTAGGTGAATTATGGGATCGTGCATTTATGGATATTTCTGGTGAGTAAATGTCAACATAGTATATTGTTTTCCATAATGGAAGCACTTGTCTTGATTCTTAACCTTTTTTGGGGGACAACTGTCTCTGGTAAGTCTCTACTTTGGTTTCTTAATTTGTGTATGTATGTGTAACATCAGTAACTTAATAATATGTTTACATATGTATAGAATTAAATTTTGCTTCCTAAAAATCAAAATGTAAAAACAGAAAATTAAAAGAGTGAATTAAATTAGTGATTACCAGGATACACTTAGAAATAGTGGTATTACAGTGTGGAGTGAAGCATATTTTATTATTTTGGAAATCCTATAGCTGTATTTTGTGAGAAGCTGCTAACTTAAAATCACTGGCCAAATAGATTTCTGCCTGATATTTACCTAGAAATTGCTAACCAATTAGGAATAAAATTGCTTATTTGCTAAAGGTTCTATTGTCTAGTTAGAAACTTCACCAGCTATTAAAAAAAAAAAAAAAATTCTCTTGAAAACACTTTTAAGACTGTTGTAAGTAACCTTCGCTGTTTTATGTTGTTGTTAAATGCTGTTTTATCTAGCATTGCTATTCAATAGAATTTTCTGTTATAATGGGAATATTTTGTATTTCCATCATCCAATAGGGTAGACACTAGCCACATGGAACTCTTGAGCACTTCATGTTCTTAAGTGCCATTGAGTTGCTTCTGACTCATAGAGACTCTGTATAGGATTTCCAAGGAGCAGCTGGTGGGTTTGAACTGTCAGTCTTATGCTTTGCAGTCCAGTGCTGATCCTATAGCAGGAGTCCATGAGTACTTTAAATGTGGCTAATTAATTTTATATAGCTTTGACTAATTAAAAAATACACATTTAATTAACCACATGAGGCTTACTGCTATGCTGTTAAGTGCCATCTAGTTGGTTCTGACTTATAGTGACTCTAGATTTCCAAGGAGTGGCTGATGGGTTTGAACTGCTGACTGTGGGGTTAGCAGTCCAGAGCGTATTCATACAGCGCCACACATGTGACTAGTGGCTGCTATGTTAGGCAACATATTTTTAGAGAGTAGTCAGCTTTTTGGAGTAAATAAATCATAGAAGAGTGACATGCAGGACCTCTGGCACAATGGCAAGACATCAGCTGCTAAACAAAAGATTGGCGGTTCACTTGGGTCCCACGTAGTCCTGGATCTCAGCTGCTGTGAAGATTGCAGATCTACTCAGTTATATGGTGTCCCTGTGAGTCAAAATGGACTTGATAACACACAGCAAGTATTATTTGAAAAGGTATTTTAAATATGGATTCTCAAGAATGATATGTTAGTTTAGAATTAATATTTATTAGTTCATTGCAGAAAAAAACTATAGGTAAAATTTCCATAAATTTATATAGGTATTATACGAACTGAGGGCAAGTTACTTCTCTTTTTGATTTTGTATTTGATTCTTTTGATATAAAATAAAGATAATTGTGCATACTTCATGAGGTTGCTGGAAGATTTGAATGAGACAATAAACAAGCATTTCTTTCCTTAGGATCTGGCATCATGTATTAAGTGCTCATTATTTGGTTCTTTTGTTTTATTACTATTTGTTGTATAATCATTGCCTTTTTTTTTCTAATTTTCCTTTTGACTTATCAAGTTTTCTGTTTTCTTTTTTTTAGCAACTGATCTGGTACTTAGAAAGGTTATAAATTTTTCAGACTGTACAGTCTGTCTTGATAAGCGAAATGCCAGTGGTAAAATTGAATTTTACCAGGATCCTTTGTTGTATAAATGTTCCTTTAGAACTCGCCTGCATTTTACATATGATAACCTAAATTACAAGATGCCATCTGTTATTAAAGTAAGTGTCTCTTTTTTTAGTAACTGAGTTACCATCTTTCTCTCGCTTTTTCTTCTGGGGGGCAGGCAGGGGCTCTTGTGTAAGCAAGTTTTTGAAAATAAATTAACATTTTAAGTATATATGCTATTTGTTCTTAAAAATTTTTATATTTATAGTTTTGTTATTATATAGTTATAGTTTTAAGTTTTTGTATTTTGTGTAATCGCAGTACGTTTTAGTGACTTTTCTACCACTGCATTTTCTTTCTTCATTTGTCTAGATATTTTTTTAGTATTTTCGCTCTTCAAGTAGATAGAGGACTTCATATATAAAAGTTGTGTCCACAGTGGTTCAGAAAGATCAATAATATGTATTTTAGTTCTTATAGTTTATGTAGCGTAATCTGATAGCTATAGTTGCTTTCCTTTCTCTTTCTTAGACAGTTTTATAAAGCTTGATAATGCTAACCTAATTCTTTAATTTATTTGGTCAGAAAGCCTTTTATTTGTGGCTTCAAAATGTACTTAAAAACTTAGAATATGTGAATTTTGATACATGTGAAAACTTACTGTTCTCCAAGTTATTGGTATATATTTTCTATGTGAGTAGTTGGTTTTGAAATAAATCTGCCTTCTTTTTTTTTTTAATTTAAGGTTTTTATTGTGGATTGAGTAAAAGTTTACAGGGCACATCATCAGTTTCACATTCAACAATTCATATAACTTGTTTCATTACATTGATTATAATCCCCTCCATATACCATC